ATACAGTTGTGTTCATATTAATAGCAGTGCGTTCTCTGAGGTAGGAAAACATGACTTCACCCAAAATAAATTTAATAAAATTTTAAAGGGCTCTCGCTATTTAATTGCATGATTAATGCAAATATAATTAAAACAAAAAGTTGTATTATTCTTCGCAATTTCTTCCATTAAAACGAAAAAAATTCACAAGTAGTCAAAAAATTCTGTTCACAAAAATAGCAGTAAAAACGAAAGTCATATGGAATTTAACACGACCGCAAAATCTACATCTTTGTGTAAAGTAAAATAAAGATATAGCTAATATTTAGTCGTATAACCCTTATTCCGAATGACGGCGGCGCATCTACGCTGCATTGAGTCCACTAAACGTCTGCATCTTTCGACTGGGATATTTTCCCATGCAGAGCGCACAACTTCCCACAAAGCGTTCGCGTTGGTTGGATTTCTCTCGAAAACACTATGTTTTATGTCCCCCCATAAGTTTTCGATGGGGTTCAGGTCTGGTGGTTGTGCTGGCCACTCCATCACGTTGATGTTGTTATTCCGAAAGAAGTCCCTTGCTCGCTTGCTCGTATGTTTCGGATCATTATCCTGTTGGAAGACCCATTTCAGCGGCATTTCTTCTTTTGCATATGGCAGCATAACTTCTTCTAGGATTTCAACGTATTTGTGCTGATCCATGATACCATCAATTTTATATATTGGTCCTGTACCGTAATAGGAGAAGCAACCCCATACTATTATTTTTGCTCCTCCATGTTTAACGGTCTTGACGGTGTATTGTGGTTGGTTACCAGCATTTTGCGGCCTTCCTACGTACTGACGCCGACCTTTTGAACCAAAAAGGACCACTTTACTCTCGTCCGTCCACAAAACATTTCGCCATTTTGAGAGTGGCCAATTGACGTGAGTATTTGCAAAGCTTAACCTATTCTTCAAGTGCGGCTTGGTTAAAAGTGGTACCTTTCGTGGACTATGGGCTTTCAAATTTGACTCCAACAAACGTCTTCGCACTGTCACTGCACTCACATTAAGATTTAGCTTTTCCTTAATCTGTCGTCTTACTAAANTTTTTTTTTTTTTACCGGGCAACAAAAATAAAAAATTTAAAAACACACGAAACAGTTAGTACTATATTAACGAGCTATAGGTCAAATATTAGAAAAACTGCGTTTTAGCTTTTAAACGTTATGATTATTAAAAAATATATATATTTCATAAATTCTATGCATTTTAGAATAACAATATGGGTCTTAACTAAAAGAGAAAATTCTCTAGAATTAAGTATTGGAAATGCCCTTTTAATAAAGAAATTCTAGACTGTGGTGGTGTGTATATTAGTCCTTAACATATTATTTTTTTTTTTAAATAAGTACTGTAAATTTTCAAGGATATTCAAGGATAAAATTTTTAAAAGAACATTTTCAATTTGTGTGCCAACAAATTTTATATACAGTTGTGTTCATATTAATAGCAGTGCGTTCTCTGAGGTAGGAAAACATGACTTCACCCAAAATAAATTTAATAAAATTTTAAAGGGCTCTCGCTATTTAATTGCATGATTAATGCAAATATAATTAAAACAAAAAGTTGTATTATTCTTCGCAATTTCTTCCATTAAAACGAAAAAAATTCACAAGTAGTCAAAAAATTCTGTTCACAAAAATAGCAGTAAAAACGAAAGTCATATGGAATTTAACACGAACGCAAAATCTACATCTTTGTGTAAAGTAAAATAAAGATATAGCTAATATTTAGTCGTATAGCCCTTATTCCGAATGACGGCGGCGCATCTACGCTGCATTGAGTCCACTAAACGTCTGCATCTTTCGACTGGGATATTTTCCCATGCAGAGCGCACAACTTCCCACAAAGCGTTCGCGTTGGTTGGATTTCTCTCGAAAACACTATGTTTTATGTCCCCCCATAAGTTTTCGATGGGGTTCAGGTCTGGTGATTGTGCTGGCCACTCCATCACGTTGATGTTGTTATTCCGAAAGAAGTCCCTTGCTCGCTTGCTCGTATGGTTCGGATCATTATCCTGTTGGAAGACCCATTTCAGCGGCATTTCTTCTTCTGCATATGGCAGCATAACTTCTTCTAGGATTTCAACGTATTTGTGCTGATCCATTATACCATCAATTTTATATATTGGTCCTGTACCGTAATAGAGAAGCAACCCCATACCATTATTTTTGCTCCTCCATGTTTAACGGTCTTGACGGTGTATTGTGGTTGGTTACCAGCATTTTGCGGCCTTCCTACGTACTGACGCCGACCTTTTGAACCAAAAAGGACCACTTTACTCTCGTCCGTCCACAAAACATTTCGCCATTTTGAGAGTGGCCAATTGACGTGAGTATTTGCAAAGCTTAACCTATTCTTCAAGTGCGGCTTGGTTAAAAGTGGTACCTTTCGTGGACTATGGGCTTTCAAATTTGACTCCAACAAACGTCTTCGCACTGTCACTGCACTCACATTAAGATTTAGCTTTTCCTTAATCTGTCGTCTTACTAAATTAACTATTTTCCGGTCAGTTTTTTCATCTGTCAGTCGTTTTGGACCGCGAGTTTCGGGACGATTCTTGAATTTTAAGGCATTGGAGACCGTTTTCGCTGAACAACCAATTATCTGTTGTATTTCTTTGTAGGTTTTGTTTTCCTGCCGCAATTTTTTTATCAAGGCTCTGGTTTCACTAGCACAATGTTTGGAACGTCCCATATTTCTGTAACCTCAAAGGTTTTATTTATCCTTATTGCTCGAATATGTTAAACTTACCAACAATAATTTGCTTTAAGACAGAAATTGTTTTTACACGCAAATGATTCCGCTCGCTTGTCAGTTAATTGCAGAACTGCTATTATTATGAACAAGCCAAATTCAATGATTAAAGCGAAATGCGTCCGGCACCAAATGCCTCGCTAACTTTGATCAAATTGAAATTCGTACGCATTTACTATACCGTTACCTTAAGCCGAAAACACAATTTAAAACGGAATTTCTTTTAAGGTTTGAGCAGAGCGTTACGTTGCCGCATACCGCAGCTGGCACTGCTATTAATATGAACACAACTGTATGTATTTGAATTCGACAGAATTGTCTCTTTTATTTGATACCCATATTGTTATTCTGCATTGCGGTGAATTTTTGTAATAATAATTTCTTGTGTTATTTACCTCTTTGAAATTTCAAAGACCTTTTAAAAAAATACCGACGTTCGAGAGAAAAATTAGAAACGCAGTATTGTTATTTTTGTTTAAAGTTGACTGTCGCACAGTGTTATTATCCTCATCCAAAATTTGAAACATGACGCCCTATCTCAGCTGCCGATTCAAAAACGCCCTATATCAGCATATTTTCAATACATTTTGAAGTGGGATAGGGCGTTTTTGAACCGAATTTTGAGATAGGGTGTTTTTCAATTAAATTCTGAAATGAGGCGTTCTTGAAAAGTTTTTTGAGATAGAGCGTTTTCGAACTGGCTGCCGAGATAAGTCGATCTTCCACTCAGCCATCGACTGGGAGGTTTCAAGTCTACGTCATCGGGAAGTTGGTCAAAAATTAACTGCAAGATTTGCATACATACATACATATGTACATACAGGGCAAATAAAAGCTTGTAATAACATATGTATATATTTAAAATACCAATTACTCTAATTTAGCATACTTGACAATAAAGATCCCATCTAATCTCAGTCCAATAGACAAGACCAAAAAAAAATAAAACCCTCTTATTTTCTTTTATTATTTTAAGTGCAATTATTTGCATTCTTGTGTAATAAGGAGATATTGTGATTATATTCTGAAACAGAAGAGTGAGATCGATTAAGACCGTAAAGCAATCCAACCTGCAGTAAATAGTCCTTCAAAATTACTTATTCCTATCCTATTAACTTTTTTCTTTTTATTAATTTTCCTACGTAAAATATTTCCACATTCATTTAATTAGTTACATTTCATTTTTAAATATAATAAACAACATTAAAATTTTTGAATATTATTACCTAATTCGTATTTTTTATATTTTCCTTCCTCTAGATGGCAATCCCGTCACCGGCGAGGGTTATAAGCCCAGCAACTCGTTCAACCATTCAGTGCCCAGCCTGAATGGTGCCAATCAGGTCATCAATAAGAATCGCATTCCACCCGGTGGATTCTCATCAGGTCTTTGGTAAATAGAGTTTATCGCCTGTGTATTGTTCGTTCCGCGTTTAGGAAAAAAACCAACAGCAGAGAAGCGAGGGTCTGAGATGAAGTGATGAAACCGAAAAAGAATAAAAAAAGAGAACAATTATATAACAACACACAACCAACCAACACACAAAGAAAAACTAAACTAACCGAACATCATCAAAGCATATATACGATGAAAAAAAAATCAGTTAAAGCAGCAATAAATCCTGCATGTTTTTATAACGATAAAGCAACGGATGGATGGATAGATGGATGAATGATGAGTAGCTGCGGTGGATATAATTGACAGTGTGAGGAAAGCAATTTAAGAAGAGAACCAGCAATGAGAAATAGGCACATTGAAAATTAACAAAATTTCCATTAAAAAAAAAATGGTAGAAACACAAATTATTGAAGGATGCAAGAATAATTAGTATTTAAGAGCTAATCAAGCAGAAATTTAGAAAACCCAGGACACAGACACACACAAACACACGCCAACACTGTTTTACAGTAAAACAGAAAAGCATTTTATCCAAACATTAACGTACATAGTACATATGTATGTAGGTAATATGGTTACCAATGCGATGAACTCTCAAAAGTTAACGTCAGAGAAACTGGCAAGCGAGGAATAAGGGAAATGCAATCAAAAAAATAAATGCAGCAAAAAATTAATTAGTGTTTAAATGACATAAAATTAATAAAAATTAAAAACTTGAAGCAATATTGAGCAAAATGCAATTACATGAAATAAGAACAACTCTTCTGTGTAATAATACTCTTCTACAAGTGACAAATGTTCATAGCAAAATTGAGTTTTATGCATTCAAGCATAAAATCTATAATTTTCCAAAATGTAAACAGCGCGAAAGACACAAAAAACTGCATGGCATTTGGCATTTTCGTACCATCAACATCAACACCAACACAAACACATTTTCAACTCGAAATTTTATTTAGCATTACATGTCGTCAGTTTCACGCCTTCATCAATACACCCTGCATACATACTTCACATATAAACACAACCTAAACGTGTACGAAAAATGTTCATTCAACGAACTGCAGCTCGAAAAAACAAACAGCTCAACGAACTTATACAAATGACGACGTCGATATATAGACGATTGAAAGTTGTTGCTTTAGAATTATAAAAAAAAAACACAGAAACTAAATTTAAAAAGTATTTGCTCAATTTAAAGCTGCAGTTTGTGGGAAAGGTGTATACAAAAAAAAAAAGACACAATCAACAAGCATGAAGCAATTACAACAAAAATGATCGCATGTAAATCCTTTTTAACCGTTTCTGTAGCCAAACCAACTCTTAAGAACATTTTACTTTTGGCACAATTCCAACTAGGCATAAATTAACCTGGATTCTATATGAAATGTAAACACTCATTCCTTCGATTAATAACATCCTCCGCTATATGTATCTACCTAACAATATACGCATACATACCACATCCATATCCACATCCACACCAACGTTAATGAACTGAAGAATTATAAACTAAAAACAAGAGCAATGAATTATAAAATATTAATCACTGCATCGTAATTTAAACAAACAATGATTTTCAAAAAAAAAAAAACTACAAAAACCTTCATACCAGCATACATGCTACATACTCACAAACAACATACATTTAATCAATTACATTCATTTCTACGATATTTGAGATCATACATATTTAATAAATAATCATAAAATGCCTATGATTTGCATTCATTTATTTTAATTCATAATTATAATTATGTTCTCTCCTAATATATATTTTATATCTATGTAAAAGATACATTTATAAACAAAAAAATTACAATACATTATGTATGTATGTATAACTTAATATTAATTTCGATTACTTGTAACAGCATGCTTTTTTCAAGATTCTAAAATTGCACGCTTTTAAGTGAACAAGTTTTTTCAAAAATTTTTTTTTAACAAAAATATCAAACATTTTTTGGTTCATTTAAAAATCTGCAGTTATACTGAATCATCATTTATTATAAACATTTCAACATACAGATTTAATCATATATTTGTACATCTAATTTTAATAAATTAGTAATGAATTTAATTAAAATACCATACCATTTATATACATACGTATAAAAACCATAAACACATTGATTTACACGAACATACATACATGAATGAATACATTTGTAAAAAATTGTAAACAAAATTTTGTTTAATAAAATTTCGTATATTGAAAAATTCACTTAAAAATAAAAATGTTATTTTGAAATGGCAAAGTTATATGGTAAGTTTTGATAAAAAAGCTATTACTTGAAATAATAAATTTAAGATAAAAGAGGTGCATGACTTATATACATAATGTAATGCATTAATAAAAGGTATGCACTGCGACCGAGCGAATCTATTGTGTCGCATAAATAGCACGACAACCCCGATCGCAGCGGAGCACTTAACATCTCGTTTACGGTAAGAAAAGCTTTTGGAGGTAGAGGGTATGTGTAATCATCATTTGGTCACATATGTGAGCTTGGACTTTCCTCTTGTCGTCTGGAAACGGCCTCTCACTCAAAGAGCAGGTGTTTTAATCGATTTAGCTAAAAAATGGCGAATTTTTGAAATCGAACTTTGTGCTGCTAAAATTCGGTTGAAATAAAATTTTTCTAGAAAAAATCGAATTTCATCTTTCTTACCAAAATATCAACTCCTCAACTTTCTTTTATCTGCCTAAATTTGTCATCACTGTATGTGGCACTAGCGCTGGAAAACTATAGATATTGTTCCCACTTGATAGTTTTGATAGTTTAAGTTTTGCACCATCGCTAGTATCGATAGTACCGTTTAATTTTTAACGGGTGATCAAGTTTAAAGTTGCATTTTTATATGAACTTGTTCGCTTTATTTACAAAAACTTTCACACATGCATATTAAACGAAAAAGCCTTTGCACCGATAAATTTAAAATTAGAATGATATAGTAGTGGAAATAGAGAAGAAACTAAGAAACTATCTAAAGTCATAAAGACAACCTAAAAACGACACTATCATCACTTTTAGGTTCCCCTTAATCATGATCATTCTGCATCCGGCAAAGCCCGCATTTTCTTTGTGGTTTTAGGGCCGGTTTCTCCACCTCTGGTTAATAGTAACTCCCCGGTTAAACATCTTTATCGACGTTCTGACTCCATGCATAAATGTAACAGGGAGTCGATAACGTCGGTAACGATGTTTAACCGGGAGTTAGTATTAACCACAGGTGAAGAAGTCTGCAATATTCAGCAACGCCCTATTTCAGAATTTGGTTTAAGAATGCCTTATCTCAGCTGCCGATTCAAAAACGCCCTATCTCAGCATGATTCAATAATTTAAGGTTTGCTCACTACTGACATTAGAATTTTGACACTCGCTTAAATTTCTTACAAAAGGTTGCACACACACGCACCCAGACACTAAGGGAGCCGGTTTGGACAAGAAGGACCGAGAAAACTGTTTTCTGAGCAAAGCGTTAATTACACTGGATCACAAATTTTAATTTTGATTTCGTTCTCCACGCCATTTACCAGTTTGTACGTAGAATCGCTCGCTCATTCCCACAATCGAGTTATTTTTTTTTTTTTGTATGGATACGTTGTCGAGATACTTGCAATTTAACATTATTCAGCTTAAAAAAAGAGTGGTTCCACTTAACCAGGTATATCTTACGAACCAATTAAACAATCGTAATACGAGATACGGCAAATGAAAGAAAATAAAATTTCCCATACACCGTATATGCATCACTTTGCGATAGCCCTAACAGTTTCTGAGGAAATAACTCGTCATTCCAGATGTTTTGTTTCCTTTTTTTTTTTGATTGAGAAATGCAAAATTTCAAACTGGTAACAGTAGAGCTCTTTTTAAAAATCGACTATCCGGCTATTCGGTTAGTCGACTAGTCGATTAGCAACTTTTTTGTCGGTTGATAGTCGAATAGCAATTATTCGATTAACCGCTCGAATTCGACTAACGAGTGAACGCACTTTCGACTAACCGCTCACTATCGAGTAGTCTGAAAATCGACTAACCGAAATTATTCGAATAGTGACAGTTTTTCACCATAAAATTATTGCTATTAGCGTGGTTGGGTTTTGTCAATAAGATAAGTATTCAAAAAATATAAAAAAAAACAATGTTTACTGAAAGAAAACGACTAGTCGAAAAATCGAAAATGAACGGATAATCGACTAGGTGTTTGTGAGCGGTTAGTTGAAAAAGTCGAAGGGAAACGGTTATTCGATTAAGTGAAGTCGATTATTTTTTGAAACAACTTTTGCTATTCGACTAACCGATTAGTCGACTAGTCGACTAACAAGAGCTCTAGGTAAAAGGGAAAAAGGTAAAAAATATAACAGTTTCTGTGTAAATCTTTTGCACTTGTGTTAAAGCCTGTTCTTTTAGAAAAAAATGAAGCTGCCAATGAAGAAAATCTATTGATAAATAAGAANGTTATTTTGCAACTGACAACGTAGGCGTTCATTTTGTTCTTTTCTAGTAGATTACATTGGTCACGATGGTATTTTTGGTACTAAAAACTTAAAGAAAACATAGCTTACCTATTTTCCAAGTGGGAATTAATTTAATTCCGTTTGAAAAATTAATCGTGAAGTGATGAAATATTAGGAGTGTTCGCTATGCAAAAAATTTGTACAAGTTGGTACCAATTGTTACCAAATTGTGTTCGTTTAGCCAAAAACCCAGTAAAACTTGCAAGGAGAGAGCACCATTTTGACATTTCATTNCGACTATCCGGCTATTCGGTTAGTCGACTAGTCGATTAGCAACTTTTTTGTCGGTTGATAGTCGAATAGCAATTATTCGATTAACCGCTCGAATTCGACTAACGAGTGAACGNTTTCCCCCTGAATCATCTCGCGGAAGGAAGTAGAAATTTAGAATATACATTAGGTATCAGACATACTTCTGAGCCGCTTTACAAAGTAAGTTACGTAGAATGTAGAGCAGTCGCTCGGAGTAGTTCGGCGCTTGCAAATAACTTCGGCGGCACGTTATTTTGCAACTGACAACGTAGGCGTTCATTTTGTTCTTTTCTAGTAGATTACATTGGTCACGATGGTATTTTTGGTACTAAAAACTTAAAGAAAACATAGCTTACCTATTTTCCAAGTGGGAATTAATTTAATTCCGTTTGAAAAATTAATCGTGAAGTGATGAAATATTAGGAGTGTTCGCTATGCAAAAAATTTGTACAAGTTGGTACCAATTGTTACCAAATTGTGTTCGTTTAGCCAAAAACCCAGTAAAACTTGCAAGGAGAGAGCACCATTTTGACATTTCATTTGGAGGGGAAGTTGCAAATTCGTGCTGGGAAAATTTTTGCTGGGAAATTTTTGGATTGTGGCACACGGTTGCATTTTGTCAACATTAATTTGAATCAACGAGTTCATTAAATTTAAAAATGAACAATCTTGTTGCGATTTACTAATGAAAGAAGTATGTAAATATTCGTTTATTCAATTAATATAATTAATTCCAAACATTTGAAAGGTNCACAGTATACAGTAATCCAGATAGCCAAAACAAAAAATGTAAATATGCTTATTTGACATTTTGTTTGAATGTATTGGTTGATATTTTTTCACAGTGGTCGTTTTCGTTAACCCAAACGAAATCCAATTTAAATATTTTCTTATAGTGAAAAATATTTTTAAGTCACATAAAATAAAATAACGAGAAAAACACAATTCCAAGCAAATCAAGCGTGGAGCGTAAGCGATTATAACCGGATGCAGTTCCTACATAAGTCAAACCGTGTTCCGAACACAACTTTGAGTGAGTAATGGTGGGCTGACTTTTTAAAATGGTCCCATCGATTAGGCGGTAAAACAAGTATTACTTAGCTTAAGGTAACTCTCTAATTTTCAAATGCGCGAAATTTGTATGTATTTGTTCAGCCGCTTATTCACATTTGAAAGAGGATAATGCATGAATTAATGCAAGTAAAGATGGTTTATGCAGATAAGCAAGCGCGTTTGTTAACCGTATAAAATGTATGTACATATATATATACCAAAATATTCAGAATGACGAGATGAACTAGTTCAGCCCTCTCTGTTTGTAAACACGCTAACTCGAACAAAATTTAGATATTTTAACGAAAGTCGGTGTCGAAGTTGCCTTTGGTATAAGTTAGGTTAGTGTTAAACTTTGGCGAAATCTGCCAATAACCACGCCCACTTGCCACGTAGTAATCAAACATATTT